GGGAAAGTGGTGGTGTTTGGAAAAAAAATTTGGTACTGAAGTTCGAACCTACCCCAACCCCCCACCCATCTCCCTTTTTTCAGGTTTTTTGGAAGGTATAATTTTTTTTTACACTTAGCCCCCCACTTTCAATTTGCTTCCGACGCCAATGACATCCAATAAAAGGTGGTACATTTACGCAGACTACGCATATTAGAGTTTTTGCAAATCATTTATATACTTAACAGTATAGTTAACAAGCATTCTGAGAGTATTGCATAAGCAATATATGTCCCCAACCGGTTCCCCTTTTTCTTCAGGATGTCATTTTATTGTATGCAAAAGTTATGTCCAAGGTAAAACTGGATGATTTTTTATGTTGTGAATGCCTTAAAACTAATAAAACAAGAGGCCCAGGGGCCACATCGCTCACCTGAGCAATTGGCTAGGAAAAAGCACATATCAAATCAGAACTGAAAGTTTACTGAAGAGGGGGGGGGGGCTTGAATTTTAACCCCCAGGGTGTCATGATTTGAACAAACTAGATTTTACACTACCTGAGGATGATTTCCTATAAATATCACTATAAGCAGGGATATAAGAAGATTTTAAAAGGATTCCCTATATATTCCTATGTAAAACTTTTATCAGCCATTTGTCCCCACCCTACCCCCGGGGGTCATGATTTGAACAAACTTGAATCTACACTACCTGAGGATGATTCCACAAGAGTTTCATCTTTTCTGGCCCAGTGGTTCTTGAGAAGAAAATATTTTAAAGATTATTCCTATATATTCCTATGTAAAACTTTGATAGGCCATTTTGACCCCACCCTACCCCCGGGGGTCATGATTTGAACAAACTTGAACCTACACTACCTGAGAATGATTCCACATGAGTTTCATCTTTCCTGGCCCAGTGGTTCTTGTGCAGAAGATTTTTAAAAACACCATGAATTTTTCTCTAATTCATTATTATTTCCCCTTGAAAAAGGGCATGGCCCTTCATTTGAACAAATTGAATCCCCTTCACCTAAGGATACTTTGTGGCAAGTTTGGTTGAAATTGGCCCAGTGGTTCTTGAGAAGAAGATGAAAATGTAAAAAGTTTACGACAACGACAATGACAGACGACGGACAAATTTTGATCAGAAAAGCTCACTTGAGCCTTCGGCTCATGTGAGCTAATAAGCCACATTAAGACGAAAATTCAACTCATTTTTTCCAACGTCTTTTTCTCGCTTCGTATAATGTCGACCATCGGAAGTTAGCGCAGCATGAACCCGATCTTAATTAAACGAATGTGAAAAATTCAAAATGCCATAATTTTGTCAAAAATCAATGAAGCGATGCGAAATTCAAATTTGATCTGTAACTCATCAAGATACACTCACATACCAAATTTCAGCTCAATATCTGCAAGCGTTTAGAAAAAAGTGCGGAAAACCAAGTGGGACAGACTGACAGACAGACGGGGACAGACAGACAGACAGCTAGACAGACAGACGGACGGACAGACGCAGAGGAAACCTATAGTCCCCTCCGGTTTCACCGGTAGGGGACTAATAAAGCCGGGGCCGCGGACGGAAGACGACATATCCCAGATTGTCGACATATCCGGTGTCGAGATACCGAAGTATACCTGTAGTTGCTAATCATATATTTATGTAAAATGAAAATATTTCATAAAGAAACAAGTATTTCTTTAAAAATTCTTTGACTTAAATTATTCAACCATTTGCATGATAATCAGAGTCTGCAAATTTAGATAATATTTATTTCAAACTGATTTTTATGTTTAGTATTTTTTAAATAAAATGTAAAATATGAGTGGGTCTTCGCTACATTTTTTTGAAAGCTAATTATAAAACTTTGCATAAAAATGTTCACAAAAAATGGAACAGAGACCCACGATACCTTAAAATTACACATTAATGACACAACATTTACATTTTTCCAAAAATTGTTTTAGTAAAGTCAGTTAATAGTAGCCAATGGTCATATCACAAACATGATTTAAATGCAAGAAAGTGTAGCCTAGACTGGTTAGAGTGAAAGTTTCAAAGGAAAATGATACTCGGGATTTTTATTGCTTGCGTTCGTACTCAACCCACGAATATCAAATTATTTTTTTTTAAATAGAACAACAATTTTATCAAGCAAATTTTCACGAACAAATTATGTTTTCCATAATCTCATACATTTCAATAATGATAACTTTACTTTAAAGGGGCCTGGACACAGTTTCAACTGATTTTTTAAAACCAATTTTAATGTTTACAATTCCTACCTAAGGCATCATCTATTGATTAGCAAAAATTTGAACTTTATTTGTTGATTAATAAACATACAAGATACAAAACTTAAAGTTCTTCATAATGTAAACAAGGCTCGTGCCTTGTTTTTGTTTACATCTACATATAGAAAATATCATATTTATAACAAAATGAAGTTCAGCAAATCAATAGTAACTGTCAAATTGTATTTGAAATTAAATTTTATTGGAAATTATCGACTTTCAGCGAACATATAGTTTATTAACCCGTGTAAACAAAAACATGACACTAGCATTGTTTACATAACAAAGGTTTGGAGCTCTAAATCTGTATTGTATTTGGACAACTGGCGTTCATATTTTTGATGATCATTAGAAAGACCCTAGTTAAATATTTGTAAAAATGGAAAAATAAATTTTGAAATTTTAGTTGAAACTGTGTCCATGTCCCTTTTAATGTTTCATGTTTAATTCACAAACAAAATATGATTTTATATACTAGTATCAGAATCATTAGGTATCCTGTACACCTTATTCACCCTTTTTATTGATTTCAGTTAAATATTTTAAAATTGAAATCAAGATTTGAAAAATTGTAACTTGGGTTACTTCGGTCTCTCAAAAACAAAACAAACAACCTACCACAAAAATAACGTGAAGTTATGACAGTGAGCTTCCCCTCTATATGTTCAATTTATATAGCTTGAAGGTTTTCGTACGACTTATAAACATATTTTTCCAGTTTTATGCAATTTGTTTTATCAGAAAATTAGATTTATAAAGCTATTATTACCTAGTTTGTAGAAAATTTTGTTGTATAAAAGAATGGAACTTTGTTTGGGAAATAATGGTTTTATATCATATTTACATGTACAATGCATATTGAAATGTACATGAAGAGTTATTGTTCTTGACCTCAAAGACATATACAGAACTACATTGCAACATTGTTTTGAACACTATTTTGAAATCTGAGAAAAAAAATGAGAATTCTTTTTTATAATTTTTTAATAATGTAAAACAGGAGGAATTTAACAACTAGTTATGGTGGTATATTTCTGCCCCTACAAAAGATAAATTATGTTAACATGCAACATAATTATGTAGACATGCAACATATCTATGTCAACAAGCAATTTAATTATGTTGACATGCTAGTTACCAATCTTTTTAGAAAATATAAATTAAATATGGGGAAAATTACTCACTTCCGTCTGCATCTGACATTTAAAATGCAAGATGCAACAGAATTTTGCAGACATGCGACTTATTCATGTCAACATGCAAGATAATTATATCAACATGCAAGATAATTATATCAACGTGCGAGTTATTTATGTTTACATGTAAGATAATTATGCCAACATGCAAGATATGTATGAAATTTGCAACTTATTATCTTGTAGGCAAAATATAACTCGCATGTTGACATAAATAAGTAGCATGCAAACATAATTATCTTGCATGTGAACATAAATATCTTGCATGTCAACATAATTATCTTGCATGTTAACATAATTATCTTGCATGTTAACATTATTTGTTTGTATGTTGACATAATTATCTTGCATGTTGACATAAATAAGTCCATTTAAAATGTCAGATACAGTTGTTAATAAATAACCATGCCCATATTTAATTTTTATTTTCTTATAAGATTGGTAACTTGCATGTTAACATAATTAACTTGCATGTTGACATAAATATGTTGCATGTCTACATAATTATGTTTCATGTTAACATAATTTATCTTACATGTAGGGGCCGAAATATGCCACTATAACTAGTCTATCGTAATATATGCTTGAATTATTTTTTGTTTAAAAACATATGAAGGTACTAGGATTTAAAACTGGTACATACAGTATTCTGAAAAGGATATGCACATTATAGCGGGTTTCTTCAACAGGTGCAAAATTTGGCGATTTATTTGCTTATTTCTTGTACTATTACTGACATACCAACAATTACTAATACCGTACGTTAGGTCATTTCAGAGAAAGAAACGTATTATCTCTACTGTAATTTAGGCCATTTCAGAATAAGAAAATATCACCTTTATACTGTTAGGCCATTTCCTAGTAAGAAACGTATCATCTTTCAACTGTTAGACCATTTCATAGTAAGAAACGTATCATCTTTCTACTGTTAGGCCATTTCATAGTAAGAAACGTATCATCTTTCAACTGTTAGACCATTTCATAGTAAGGAACTTATCATCTTTTAGAACTTTATAGAAAAAAAACCCTTAATATAATCCAAGAAAGGAATGAATTATTTATTTTTTGTTTATCAAAAAAGGTACATGTAAGTATTATGTTGTTATTGAATAAAAATGATAAAGCATGAAAAGTAAAGCTGCTTTAATAAAATTGTAATTCAAATTACTTATTAAATTCACTGATTTTACATAGACAATCATACAGTTTTTGAAGTTAATCTTGCATTTTAATTTTTTTTTTTATTTTCAAGGCTGCAGTTATAGATCTTTTTTATCAATCAGTCTACAGGCACAATATTTAAAACAATTCTTTAAATAAGTAATGTAAAGTTTATGATATATTATACATGTAATTCCCAAATATTTTGTTTTCATTAACAACAGATTGAACAGAATTTAACTTAGAAAATAAATCATTTACACTAAAGCAGAAAGTATCAATAACTGACACTGCGATTGCAAGTTTAATAATTTTATGCCATGGAGTAAATTCAATTTTTTTCTCTGCAAAAACCCTTGACAAATAATCAAGTTTAATGAAACTTTATTTGAAGCTATAGATTAATTACATGAAAATATCTTTTACATGTAAGTATAATATGAAATACAAACTTGCTTCATTAATCATCAGCGGGTGAATATAAAGTCACATAAATATTGATACTATTCTTCCTAATTCTATTATAAAGTTTAGTATGTAAGTCAACAGAGTCAAACACAAATTAATATACAAGTGGTTAAATAGTTAGATATTTTTTTTTACTTCTGGTAAGTGCACACTGTATGATTATCAATACGGTGAGGGAGAATAGGATTTTTCTGATCACACCAAGCTGCTCCAATTATTCAGTTACATTTGTTTTCATCATTTTTGAACAATCTGCTTACCAAACTTTTGATTAGAGAGAACTGGGATAAAGGATTTTTCTTTTTCCACCAAACTCCTTTAATATGGAAAAAATTCCCATTTGTCTTCTTCATTTTTGAACAATGTTCATTCCAAGCTCTTTACCTATTTTACTCACTGCGTCTCTCAATATTTCATGATTTTGAGCAGAGGCAGATGTGGCAGTAGGGGCAGGCAATGACGTACTGCTTTGAGCTGTCAGTTTCTTCTTTTTCCCTGGCATTTTTATTGGGGAAGATGGTGGCCTAAACGTAATAGGTTCCTCTTGAATAGTTGTAGAAACAATGGTTCCAAAAGTTTTCATGTCTTGGTCCAATTCCGCTGGACGAAACGCTGCAGGTGTAATTTTGATCGAACTTGGGAGATTTTCGTAGGTATTGAGCGAGAACGCCGTTTCTTTTCTGAACAGGACCACTGCTAAATCTTTAGAATCCAGCTCATCCTGACATTTTTTTTGCAAGGTTTCTAGTTTTTTGATTTCTTTGACAAACTCGCCATTTCTTGAAACAATATTCTTTTTTGTTTCTTTAGTACTTGCTTTCAGGTCATCTGCTTTCTTTAGAATGGTTGATCGCACCTTGTCAGCGAAATTTCTAACTTCCTTCACCACGTTTTCTGAAGCTTGTTCCATCTCTTCTAGATCTTTTACCATTTTTTGCCTTGCTTCCTCCCTTTGTTGGATATGACTCTTGATGAGATCTAAATCACTTTCTATCTTAGCTCTTTTCTTCTCGAAAAAATCGGTTATATCGTCAATGCTATGTCCAGTATGGGCAGCTGTCAGACACTGCGAACATATTGCTTGATCGCAACTCTTACAGTATAAATCCACTGTGTTAGATTTATGTTTAGGACAAGCAGCTTTCTCCATTCCCTTCATTAAAACGGAAGCAGCTTTCCGTTTCACACCTTTTTTCGTTGGTGTACTGGGTGCATTTGATGAAGTAGATGGCACATTCTGAGAAGTTGGAGCGTTTGTTGAAGTGGGTGGCACATTATGAGATGTTGGAGCATTTGTTGAAGTCGATGAAGCATAATTACGTGTTGAGGCATTTGAAGAAGTAGATGGAGGATACGCAGGTGTTGGGGCGTTTGTTGCAGCCGTAGTTGTACATTTGGCGGTGGGGGTACTATCAAGGTTATCTAATTGTGTGGACGGTTCCACCTTATTACAAAAATAAAAAAAAAAAGAAACAGTAAAATTATACAAACATGTACATGTAATATATATCTGTCAGTCGATTATATTTTCAGTATTACCTCTAATGCTAAAGGAAAAACTTATATGAGGAAAAAAATGACACTCATTTTGTTAAAGATACTGAAAACAAACACACCTTATTGAATGATGTACTCAAAGGTATCTTGAGGTTTTACGTGATCGTTTTTGAAAATATTTCCTTTTATTTTACATTTTCATGATAAAAAAAATAAAGCAGTTTAGTATAATATATCTTAACTGACAATACAAATTAATTAACGTTTGAAAATGATTTTAGCTTGGAAATAATAATAGTAATTTTCAATCGCAAATATCCGTTTATGAATTAACATACTTTGATTGAAGACGTCTCCATTCCATCTGAAAAAGTTAAGGGCACCACAATATGATTTTTGAAGGCATTCCCTTTGCTGTGAAGTCCTGAACAATTTTCACATAGATTCCCACATTGTTTGCAGTGCGAGTGGAGAATACTTAAATCAGCACATACCCCACATTTAACTAGAGAGTATATAGAAGACATCACTTCCCTAATAATATCAAAAAAGACAAAGGCAACTGTGAATTCAATGTTAATAAGGAAATCGTGATTTAAGTTAACAATAATGACTACTAGTTTTATGCAAGTTAATGTTTCTGATCAATAAATATTTTTTCTGCAAATCAAAAAAAAATTCTCTCTTTTGGTGCCCTTTATATAGGACAACAGGTTCAATTAGCATGCTCACAAAACTGACTTACCCATTCCATTTTACTATATGTTTTCATTGTTGAATCTCAGGTTTCTAAAACATGTACATGTATATGTACGGGCTATTACAATTTTTTTCTCTCCAAATGACCTTTTACTAAAAATCATGACCATGACCCTAGGTTTCTACATCATATGAAAGAAAGTCCTTTTTTCCTAAGCTTCTAATATTTTTTTTCTGGAGAGAAAATGCTAGGACAGGAATACTATTTAACAAGTTTTCTTGAACCTGACTAGAGAAAAAGCAGAAAAATTAATCAATTCAGTATTTTCAGAGTAAATGTGAACAATCACATCATTGCTGTTCTTGAGAAGAAGATATTTAAAGATTCTTCTTATGTGAAACTTTGATCGCCCATTGTGGTTCCGCTTCATGCCCCGGCGGCCACGATTTGAACAAAATTATTACACTACCTGAAATTGCTTTCATAGAAATATTACTAATCCTGGTTTAATGTTCTTTACAAGAAGATTTCAAAAGATTTTCCCAGTTTATTCTTTTTAAATTTTATCACCCATTGTGATCCCGCCCTCCCTCCGGGAGTTATGATTTGAACAAACTTGAATTTACACTACCTAAGGATGTTTCCATATAAATATGACTAATCATGGTTTTGATATTCTTGAGATGAAGACCTACCTCCGGGGGTCATGTTTGACAAACTTAAATCTACATTACCTAAGATTGCTTCGATATAAATATGACTAATCCTGGCTTTGCTGTTTTTGAGAAGAAAATTTTAAAAGGATTTTTTCCTATGTAAATCTTTGATCTCTCAATATGGCCCCACCCTACCCCGGCGGTCATGTTCTGAATAAACCTGAATCTACACTACCTGAAAATGATTCCATAATTATAAATATGACTAATCTTGGTTTTGCTGTTTTTGAGAAGAAGATTTCTTAAGATTTTCCCTATGTATTCGTATGTAAAACTTGGACCCCCATTGTGGCCTCACCCTACCCCAGGGGGCATGATATGAAGGAATCTTATTGCACAATACCTGACAGTGATTCCACATAAGGTTAATGTTTTCAAGCATAGTGGTTCCTGAGAAGAAAAGTTTTAACTGATACTAATGCCAATAATTTTTTCATAAAAGCTTAATTATCTCCCTGTAAAAAGGCGTGGGCGCGTGGCCCTTCATTTGAACAAACTGGAATTCTTTTTGCCCAAGGATACTTTTTGGGAATTTTTTTTAACTCGGCCCAGTGGTTCTAAAGAAGAAAATGAAATTGTGAAATGTTAACAACGACTACCTACAACGAATAAATTTCTATCATAAAAGCCCACTTGAGCGTTCGGTACAGGTGAGCTTAAAATGAGTACGTTAGAGAAACTGTAATACAATACAAGAAGCAAAGGGTTCTGTAATAAACAAACGATTTTAAAATCTGTAAGTCACTGATGGGGAATTTAATTGAAAAAGTTTTTAGAATCAGTCAAACGGAAAATTAATGCGCTCTGCATTGAAGATATGAATGCTTTTTTACTCCGTGACCTTAACTTACGTTACGTGTTTCTGTGTTTCATTCATAATTATGTGCATTGCCTTTCGAGTTCATTTCAATCTTTTTGTTATCGGGCCATCTGTAAAATCCCATTAGCGCCCATCGGACAAATGCAAATTTAGACTACACATTTCACTGTTTCACATTGTAAATAATTATGTGTTTAACATAATATATATATGGAATAAAAGTGCAGATGGGATTTTTCCACTATAATAGAAAACAGGTTTCTAACATTTAAATAGAAAACAATGAATTAGTCCAAAATTCCAAAATTACTTCTGGTTTGGCATTTGTAGTTAACTTATTTCAACCATTAGATCTTTGCATTAAAGTAACTAAATGAAAAGATCCAAGGAACTTGATGCAAAGATTGGACAACAGTGAAACTGATTATAAAATGCCTCACTATGCAAGGTTTTTGTAATCGTCTGCTCAGTGTCAACAACTGATCTGAACAAGAAAAAAAAACAATGACCTATTTATGAGCGCATAAAGCAATACAAACAAAAATCCGAGAAGATAAGTTTTTCCATGTTATTAACAATGAATTTATTTACATATTGCGTGTTTTATATAATAACTCAACAAAATAGGCACAAGCATTCTTCTCGTGTATATAAATCGAAAACAAAAGATGTGGCTTTTTGACGCCATCTTGAAAAAAAGGCGGGTTCAAATATATATGTGCAAACAACAAAACAACTTAAAAGATGTGGATAATGGTTACGATTATTTCATGACAAACAGATAACAAAGAATACCTTTTAGACTATCCTTATCCACGAGCGTTTCTATATACTATTGTACATGTAAATTGTAGAGGGTATATAGGGCCCTGGCTGGTAATTGTACACTCACGCTTTCTTAATGGAAATGGGATACGCCTTTCAACTGCCGCTAAGGGTCGGTGTTATGAACGATAACTCAGTGCTGAAACTTGTTTAGAGCAGGCTCGGGGTATCTAACTGTTTACACGCAAGGCAGTTTTTAGCATTTCCCAAGTGTTTCTTTGCACTCAGTAGAACCCAGTGGTTTTAAAATTTAGCACCAATGTTAAACTTATTTACTGTATAGTTGCGGACATCGGTTTACTGCATATGATTAAAATTTTTAATTAAAATAAAAAGTGATATTTACCCTCCTTTTCAGTTCTAACCTAATTAATTTTTTATACTCGATCGTTCCCCTACGTGCTTAGTAACACAAATAAGATGATCAATTGTTGCATTTACTTGTAAAAATATATATATTTACACAGGAAGCGAAAAAGCGCGAACACAAAAATCATGACATTAAACTTTCTTCTTCATAATAATGGTCAGAGTTAAAACTATTGAATATAGTCTGTTCCCCATTCATTTGACACTGTTATTTCAGGTAGACTGAAGGCATTCCCTTTCTCTTGGTCAATACTTTCTGTGTACAAAACAATGTAAGGAACCCTATTGTGTATATAACAATACCAATGCTGAAGCAGCCTACATGTCATTCCTATAAACGATAACTCATAAATCGACACTAAGTTGGTCATTTTTCACACCTGAGTTACCTGTCCTTAAACACAACATCGGAAAAGTCAATTATAAATGATAAAACTTTTTAATGATGTAATTAAAAGTATGCATAAGTTATTATCTTTTTTAATAATTTCATGTACCTATAAATCTATCTAAACAATGTTTTTTTACCATATGTGCAACTTGAAAAATAAGTTGAAAGGCCTAAATTGGAAGTGTTTTTAATTTTATGGCACCGCGTCATACATGGACTGGCGCTGTAACGTTGAATATTGACCCGAGTTGATAGTTGACCCGAGGTTCATTTTTTCCAACGTTGAATATTGAACCGGGGGTGTTTTTTCACCGTTGAAAATTGAAACCAAAAGACGTTGAATTTATACCCGGGGTCATTTTTCAACAGCTTGATAATATTTTGTATCCCTGATGACCTCAACAAGTTGAAAATTGACCCTGTTGAATATTGACCCCACCTCAGAGTTTGAACATTTTTAGACGGAGGCTGTATGACAGCCTCCGTGTATAGGGATTGTCTTGCCCATGGAATGTAAACAGGAAAGATTTCCCAAGCACCATCTATCGGTGGAATTGTTTTCATTACCTTGAGAATTCTATTTTTAGAGCGACTCTGCGTTACACCGACCCGCAAGGATAGGCATAGTCTAAAACAAAGATCGCGTCACATACAAGTACGTGTATAAACTTTCTAAATAAACAGGATTTGTCTAATATTTTTTAAAATGACGTGTATATAAATACATTTCCTAGCGAATATGTAAAAAAAATGTGATTTACTATTAATTTTTTATCAGACAGAATATTAGGAGATTTTGTTCCAACAGACGATGATAAAGCATGTTTTACAATATGCTGAGCCTTCTCCCGCCGGTTCTCACCAATCGGCAATCCTCGGCTGACTCTGCTGGTTACGGACTACTAATTTTACCCCTATTTCATTGACCACTCAAGTAGTTCCAGTTTAAAAATAGAGGTTTTTTCTTAAAAATTCTTTGGGGTGTTTATGAAGTAGAATGGGGTTATTTTTGGGCATAAATGGAAAGGAGAGGGTCTGAAAAAAATTATAAAAATGATAATAATGGGAAATTTTGCTTTTAAGTGCGTAGTAGGAAGGGTGTAAAGAGGCCCATATTTACCCTTTCCTCGAAGAGAAAGTGAAAAAAGCAGGGTAGGGGTTATTTGCGAGGCCATAAAAAAACTTGCAGACTATGAATGTTCCTGAGAACTTGGTAAATTTTTGGACTTGAAATGGTCTTACTCTGTGCCAAGTTTCAGGTAAGTTGAGCCGGTGTAATTTTTTAAAATATTTTTTATGTTATAAAGGAATGTATAGCAAAATAATTGGTAGTCTGTGTCCTGCTACGCTCCATTCAAACCTCGGATGTGATTGGTGGAGGAATACGCATCAGATCCTTACATTTCTCCGCCGGAAACTGCCTTATCACTCATTTCATATTTCGCTCTGCATAACGTTCTTTGAAAATGTTTCTTAATTTGTGGAATCATTTATCGTAAACAGGTTTTGATTACAAACTCATGTAAGTAGGCTTTGAAAGCAAGAAAAAAATGTTGAGTGTGTCATAAAATAACGCCGATTTCAAATGTATGGCATTTGAATGAGATTCAAATAAGATCACATGACTGAATCAGCAAGATGGTAACTCACCGTTGACGTCCGAGGTTATGTGCGAGGTACGAGTCATCCGAGGAACTCCGAGTGGGTTCTCACACCAAAACAAGAACGAGAAGAAATGAAGTGGTGGATCTAGAGGGAGTTGGGGGGGGGTAACATCCGCGGAGAGTGATCGAGGAACCCCACTTATCAATTGCTTCTTTAATTAAAGTAAAAACTGTCTCTAGTTACAGATAAGTTTAAACTTTAGTTTTATATTTAATTGTAAAAACTTCCACCAGAATTCGCCTGTGTATCAAACTAAGTGTGGAGACGCAGATGTACCTGTACATGTATTATGTATTGAAGAAAATCCTGCTATGTCGCATGCAAATGTTTTATGTCGCAGGTATAAATATAAGATATTTTAATAATAGATCAAGCATTTCAGTTTTAATGGAATTTTTGTGCTTGATTGTTGTTTGTAATCTCATTTTCATTCCTTTTCTAATTTCTTTTTGAAAGGACCGATAAATTGGTTTGCGGCCGATTTTTGACGCTTGCATCAATAGGTTTCATGGAGTTTTTTTTAATCTGACAAGGATCGATGAATAAACAAATGCATAGTATTTTTATATGTAGGAATATTAACAGTCTAGTTTTGAATTGTTTGATATTATGTATAATTTCAGGAAACACAAGAAAATAGATTTACACTTTCTACAAGCGGTTTGAGTGTTTGGGGTACCCTCACATATGATAATAGAGAAACAAACGGCAACTCTGATATTGAGATCAAAATGCATTTGTAACGTTTGACCGTTGGGTACAACCCAAATCTTGGTTCATAGGATTTACATGATTTATCACATAATATCCTAATTAATAATTAAAAATCATATCTTCTGAAATAAGTTGTCTTATTGTCATATCGTTGATCCTTATTTGCATTTGATACTTGTGTTTTACCTCTTTCACATCCCAAACTTTAATTATTTTTTATATACAAGATTACATGTATCTCTGATCATTGGTATTCATGTCAATTTTTTTTAACCTACATCATTGGTAAAGTCATTGTTTTAACAGAGTTACTGAAAAGCAGAAATCATAGTTATATATTTATAACTTTTCTCTACGTAATTTGTAATCATGTCTCATTGTTTATAATTGTTTTAAACAGATTAACTGAAAAGGACAACCATTTCCACTGAGAAAGACATTTTTTGGGTTAATCTGTCATATGATAAAATACTACATTTAATAATTCCAGAAATATTGGTTGTCAAATTTGTCAAGATATATCTTTGTTATTGTAAGCAATACTCCAGTTCTCCAAATACAATTTAAACTTGTGAAATAGCAAGTCTTATGAACTTGATTGTTCTGTTTACATAAAGTAAGAAAGTATATTTTATTCCACTCAAAAAATTGTGTTCTGGCACGAACATTTATTGCATGTTAATGAAGTTGTATTACTTAAAGAAAATTCTGTGTTGCTTTCAAGCTAGGTCACCCCATTTTGTATCACAAAGGTTTAAGACAAACTGTACTACATGTATATTATGTTGTTTATGTTCAATTACCTGGCTGCTTCTTTTTCCATGTTAGCTCATATCATAACATTTTTACAATAAGGCCGAGAAATTTTGATTTTGGTAGCTGTTACATGTCATAATTATGTTAACAGTAGGTCTCTGTGACCTATAAATAAGATATCTTGAAATATGGAGACTCCTGACAGGCTGAGGCCTAGTGCTGAATCCAGAAATTCTGAAATAGGGGGACCAGTTTGAGGTCAGGGAAGGGGCCCAAATGCCACAATTAAAACACTCATTTATCAAATATTGCGTATTTTTTGGACTCAAAAGGGAGGGGGCCAGGGGCCTCTTTTGATTCCGCCAGTGGGCTCATGACTAGAACATACTAAACCTACATTCATCAAACCGGGCCTGGGGGCATACAACTTAGACAAGCTCACTTTTGATCTCAGTTTCACTTTTCCTTAAGTGAGACTGGGATAAAAAGTTAGCCCGTCTAAGTTTTATGTCAACCAGGCCTAGTCAATTACTGTTTCTTACGTTGAAAGGTTTAATATTGAAAGTATCTCATCTAAATAACAGTGAACTTTAATCAAGGCGAAGTTTACATTATAAAATGAAATTATAATATCCCAAAAACCTCATGAATATTGGAGTATCCTTTGAAAAAAATGTTGAATTGAAAAAAACCACACATTATTTCTCATAATATTCTTTACAGCAATGTATGACATATATATTTCTTTTGTGTTCTCCAGGTCTGGACGATTTCTAAATATGGAAGTCAAGAACGATAACCGAAAGTTGCTATAAATGGACATCAAGTAAACGTAATTATTTTTCTGACCAATCAGACAACAACATTTTTACACACCCCAAAACATATTTTAAAAGAACAAAAAGATAACACGTGCTTCTGTTTTTTTTCCTCAAAAAGATTTTTTCAACAAAAAATTTGAAGAAGTAAGATAAAAACTTTTGAAGAATAAGGTATTCCCCACATATTTACCGTGAACAACTTTGATATTTTTATCTAGGTAAAGAAAAAATAATGTATGATAGAATGTAATCATTAAGTACGGAGGTATGGATCGCAACAGCAAGTTCCTATCAAGTTCAATTATAACATTTACCAGAATATATTATATGTTGGTAAATATAATTTTGCTTATCCGTCCTATTTTCATCGATAATGCTTAAAT